GACAAAATGAGGCTTAAAGTGTCTCACTGCTCAGTTTGATGAAGAATCCTCTGAAAACAGGAGCTGATTTTACACTAAAATGATGGAAAGACCTCCGTTTTTACACAGGAAGCTGAAATAATCCCACAAATTAATTTGGGAATCAGATAGATTACTAAAATATTAAAAAATAAAGCGGAATATCTCACATTTAAACATTTAAATTTTAGCTTTTTCCTCCAGAACCAGCTCTGATTTCCACTAAATGAGCTCTGTTCCAGCAGATGTTACAGACAAAAGCAGAAACATGAGTTCAGGAGCTGAAAAGCTTCTCTGAGAAGCAGAAACTCAAACATTTGGGGGTTGTTTTGTACTCATAGCGGCTCAGTTTGACTAATCCGAGCTGCTTTTTCTCCAGCTGAACACTCACATCTGCATCACCTGAGAATGAGACCAGAGAGGCCTTCACAGTTAATTAGGAATAAACGAACAGACGCCTGATTGATCACACAGATGATGACAATCAGCTTTGTGATGCATGAAAACATCTGGAAGGTTCTGAGATAATGTTTGGAAAAGGATGTTTAGGAACGTTTGACGGTTAATAAAGAAAAAACGAGCCTCATTCCTCATGTTTCAGTCCAAAAGTCCAATATGTTCACCTTAAAACAGATGTGAGAGGGTCTGAAACACAGAAAGGGAATTATTAGAGCAGATTTCTGCAGATTTAGTTTGATTGAGCTCAGAAAATATAAATAATAATGTACTTATTTACTGATTTTACACTAAAATGATTGAAAGATTTAAGTTTTTCTACAGGAAGCCGAAATAATCCCACAAATTAATTTGGCCATCAGATAAATTACTAAAAGAAATAGAAATAAATCTGAATATCTCAAATTTAAACTCTGAATTTGTGCTTTTTCCCTCCAGAACCAGCTCTGATTTCCACTAAATGAGCTCTTAAATTAGCCTTATAGATAAATAGATTGATAGATAGATAGATAGATAGATAGATAGATAGATAGATAGATAGATAGATAGATAGATAGATAGATAGATAGATAGATAGATAGATAGATAGATAGATAGATAGATAGATAGATAGATAGATAGATAGATAGATAGATAGATAGATAGATAGATAGATAGAT